ATTAAATGAGTTCACTAGGCTCTCTTTCCTTGATGCGGCAACCAGACAAAGAGAAGGAAACTTTTGAGTTCAAAGCCCGTATTTCATTAGTCAGTGCTCATTATCATTGCAAATGGTGTCAAAATGAAAAGGGCCAGACATACGAACGGAAACGTATTTTCTACTTATATATTTACTTATATGAACACGCATACACATACACTGACACAAACACTGACACACACACAAATATATATATATATATTTAGAGAGAGAGTGAGAGAGAGATAAACAGATTTTGATGTATATACATGTATATCTCTATAAACAGACTACGATATATAAATATAAACAGACTGAGACAGTGGGATATATAAGATCATTGCAAAAGATACAATCCGATTAGAAAATTTAAAAACAAAATTTTCCATACTCACAAAAAAATATTAGTCAAGTACAACGTCCCCATTTTTAACAACGTTCTAAAAGCTCGTTGATACCATTTTCGTACAGGATCGAATTTTTTGTCTTTTAAATTGTTCTTTAGAGACCGGAACAAATGAAAATTCGAAAGATCAAAGCAAAGGAGAAGAATACGACGAATGCTGAACGGTTTCCTGTTTCAGTTATTTAAGCTTCTGTAAGGTCTGTTTTGCAACATGCAGTTTTACGTTACCGAGGTGGAAAATGGCAATTTTCGATTTGACAAACCATTTTTTTGACCGTCAGATGTGCTAGAGCGCTGTCCATATGAAACTTATACATACATACATATATATATATATATATATATATATATATATATATATATATATATATATATATAAAGAAATATAGTCTTAACACGTGCTATATTTATGGAATAAAGTGCTCAATATCAGAGATAGAGCGTGTGTGTAAATATAAAAGTGAACATAGACGTCAACACTTAGAGGCGACAGTCTGTTTCATGCTATATGTAAATCGTCAGGCCACATATGCTGTTATTTTTCTCGTCTATTTATATATATGCGGGTTAGTGGTGCATTGTGGGTATTCTATTATTTGGTTATTTTACCGGAAGTCGTTTGTTTATTTATTTGGGTCAAGTTTAATTAAAGCTATTTGTTCAATTTTGGGGTTGGTTGTTGTAGTTCATTCTAACTATTATTTTGGCGGGAAGAGTTTTTAATTTGGGATTGGTTTGTCTATTTATTTACTTGGATGAATTTAGGTCAATTTATTTTACTTGTATATTTTCTCTTTTCGGTTTTCGGTTTTAAGCAAATATAGTATTTATTTTTTTTTTTGTTTTTTATTAGTTATTTATTTGTTTTTATTTTTATTTTTCCGTATTTCATTTTTTAGGTTACGTAGTAAAATTTATTTTCATGCCTGCATTTTGAGATGAGCTCGGATCTTTTTTTATTTAATAATTTATTTTGGTCGGGGAAAGTAATGATAGCTATTTTTTTTCCTCCATGCAAAAGTTTGCAAGTTTTTGATTGGTTGTTGTAGGCTAATGACTTTTTTCCTTATCTTCCAAGATATTTTTTGTGTGATGTGCGTTTTTGTTTTTAATTTCCCAGATATATTTAGAAAGCATTGTACTCTTCGCATATTTACTATTTGTGAAAGATGTTTTTGTGTGTATAATTCTTTTTGCTTCAGGGGTCCTTCAGTTACTCCTATGTATACTTTTTTTCTTCATTATCTGGTGATTTTATATTGGCTTGGTATATTACGTTGTTTTGTAAACAATTTCCGTTTAAAGGACATTCGTTCTTTATTCTGCAGTTGCACGTGGTTATATATATATATATATATATATATATATATATATATATATATATATATATATAATTATTTATTTAAAAAATAAATATAATTATAACATAAATATGTTATAAATCACTACAAAATATAATTATAACATAAATATGTTATAAAATCACTACAAAAATAGCCATTTCGTTTAAACACCTCCGGTGTCTTATCAAGTAATGATGTTGAATGTAAAATAAATGGTTTTAAAAGTTTCAAATTAATTAAAGATCCTTCTCAAGGGGAAAACGTTGTTACAAAAGCTAGATTGACCAATCAAAATACAAGTATAGGAAAATTCAAAAAGGTTGATAACGAAGCCATGTTATAATAGCTATTCAGATCTTTAAAATAGGGGTAATATTAAAAAAAATGTATAACAGGCTTGGCGGCCACGCGACAAGGCTCTATTACTGGTGCCGGACATATGGGGACCTAAATCACCACTAAATAACAATTTCTGAGGGTGCTTTAGCCAGGAGCTTTTTAATAATACCCAGTAATTATTTAATTAACAAGTATATTCATTATTAGGAAGCACCGTACGATCGTAACAATTATGGGATTTTTTTCATCAATGCAAATGTACAAAAAAGAACAAAACTAATCTATATTACTAATCTAATGCACAAAAGTCATCATTTTATTCGCCAAAACTTAAAAAGATTTATCCTGATAATGCAGATAAATTACAAATAAACGCATAGAAAATATGAATAAATGCATAGTACTTTCTATGCATTTATTCATATTTTCATATTTCATATTCATATTTCATATTTTCTATTTATTTATATTTTCAATGTATCAACCAAGTCTAAAAATACTTGAAGAAAAACATAATGAATCTCAGAAAAACAATAATTTTGATAATTTTCGTAAATTTTATTCTGTGATAATTGTCACATCTTCAAGTGTCTACGTTTGTTTTATAGAAGATGAAGAAAATACTGTTTTCATTATGATACTAGATATTACTTGTACACACAGTTTTAATAATAAAAATCAATTTACATTATCAGGTACACAAAATTAACAGGATAATTTGGTGAGTTAATCAATATAAAAAGGTGGACAATTAAAAATAAAAATTACCCAGTAAATGTTTCTCTGAATGGATAATTATGTCATTGTTTAACATAGTTTCATGAACATATTTTCTTTCTTGACAAAATACGTACTTTTCATATTTGTTAAGTAATTTTAATGGGAATAGTACAAGGGGAACGTATAAACATTTTTATCTGTCTAAGAGTGTGAGTTCAATACCTGGTTAAGGAGGACATGGAGAGGGAATTAAGCAGGAGATAACTGATAACTGACATCCATTAGACATGGCACGTGGAATTAGAACAGTCTACTCCAGTGAGTGAAATAAAGGGTTTAGTTCGACATTCCAACCACCTGAAAAAGGCCGGAGCTTACAACGGCTGAAACGTTGTAATAAATATGGCGACAAAGATGAGAACAATAGTCCGAATAATGTAAATAGTAAACATTTTTATCTTGTAAATAAAATTTTAAGATAATTTAAAACTTTTAGTAATGGTTCTTACGATGCTTTAGGAGAAATAAGCAGACAATAATTTTTGACAAATATATCTATTTATATAAAAACGATACGAACTTTTGGCAAAAAATTCCTGCAAGTTTTCAAAAACACCAGACATTATAAAAAAAACAAAAAAAAAACAAAACAAAAACAAAACAAAACAAAAAAACAAAAACAAAACAAAGATCTGTGGTATCCAGTAGATTTTTTTAATTAACACAATCTATATCTTTCAAAACATTTTCATATTCTTGAAAATAGAAAAGTTACATTATTAAATATTTCTTATTCTGTGGAACAAACTTTCCTTGTAATATAGCCTGATATATACAAAAGAGGCATTTTAATATCTTTACAGATCCCAATTTCCAGGTCTAGTGAGTTATGAAATTTTTTGCATGCAACTTCATCCTGCAAGCATCCATATTTTGTGCAATTATGGCCTTGCTCAAAGTTGTATTCTTTAACACAAACATTAAACTGAAGAAGTAGTTTAGTTTTTTTTCATTATGAAACATTTCGATAACATTTTGTGCTGTTATAGAATATGCACGCCAGAACCTAGTTTTAATTTTCCAGATTCATTTTCTAAATAGTCTGTGGTGAATTCACCAAACATAACAAAATTGAATCCACAACTTAGCTAATACCTACAAGCATCAATTAAACTATTTGTATGTAATTTCAATAGCTAAAGTAGTGCCCCTTGTAAATGATCTTAACTCGTTTTTCTTGCGCTGTTTCTATCATTTATGCCATTTTTCTAAAATTATAAAGAAATTTTCATCATTTAAATCTGATCTCACTTTTTTCAACGGATCATTTTTCTTCACATCACCATGTACTTCTTTGACACTGTCAATTTTCCAAAATTGCAATATTTTCAATGATGTCAGTGCTAAAACATGAATGCTTTAGTTTTCGAAAGAGAACAAATTGTTGTATACATACCAACATGGTAACATTCAAACATCAAGATTTCAAAAATATTAGTTAAAAATTGGAATATCTCCAGTGATAAAATCAGCAGACGAGATGAACAGTTGATTTTTTGATTTATCGCTTGCAACAACGAGCTCAAAATCTTGTTAATCAATATTGTGGCACAAATTTGCAAAACGTATTATTTTGTTTCTTTCAAGAAATTGTGCCAACTCATCATTTTGCACATTTCACACCTAAACAGATGTTTTATTTGTAGTTCTTGGTTTTGGTTGACGACTGTATAATACACTTTATGACAAATGATCAAATACAGACAACAGATTTTGAGGTCATACATTTACTTTAATAGAAACAAAAATTTCAGGCTGATTCAAAAAATTGCAGAATATTAGATTTTAAGGCCTGAACAATTTGGACTTTTATGATTCAGAATCAAGAAATTAAAGATTTATTGCTATTGATACGTTTTCTACGGATTATCAACCCTTTGCAGGTTATTTAAAGACAGAGAATATTTGTAGATTGTAAGTTTTTTCTTTCTAAGATAATAATGGTTTTGCGATACAAGTCTTACTAATTCACCATAGTTGGTAGATTCATCCCTTTCTCAAAGATATTTGCACATAAGTGAATACAACGAAGCCAACGACTGATGGAACACGTCTCTCCGATTAAGAATTCCAAGTATTATCCATTACACCACCCGCACATCCAAACTTAAGCATCTGGTATTCCCAAGCGGTCATCTATCTAGATACTGACTAGGCTCAACGTTGCTTAACTTCGGTGATCGTGCAGGGACCGGTGTTTCAACATGATGTGTTCGTAAGCCATTTTAAAGGGTTGGGTGATGTTGTACTGTAGGTAATGTCACCAGGTTTAATCATTTATTCGAATTTGTTTTTTTCATATTTATGCTGACTAAGCACTTCAGACCACGTGAAAAAAATAAGAAGAAATTATGAAATTTTATAAAGGTTAATTGGGAGTTTCGTTTGCTACATAAATTAATCGCAAACTGATCCTTCAAAGGGAACCAAGACAAAACATGTTCATACAACAAGATTTCTTACAATGGTGAAAAAATAAAAAATAAAATCGTAATGTGGAAGACTTTTTTCATATATTACTTTCCATTAAGCAGGGAAGATTACGATATTGCAAAAAAGAAATCACGTAGTATAAACTTTTTTTCTGTAATTCTTTTTGGTGTTTTTTTCCAAAAATAATTGTGAATTTATAGCATTTTCATCTTGACTGTACGGTCATTTCCCTCTCAATTAGTATGGCATGTTATGCAATCATGGACTACACTTATAACATCTTGGACTTGCCTAAGAGGTATTAAAATACCCATTTTTACACATAACTGTTGCCGACCTCCTGATCATTGCTTGAGAACGCGTGAAACTCTTAGCTGTGGCCGGCCAATGTTCACTGGAAATTTAATTATAATATATTAAGTCTCTACCAGTTAATATAGCATTAAACTGTCTTTCTCCGTATTATATGAAGACCTGACAGTTCAGTTCAAGAACTGAACCGCCAGAATACTCACATATAAGATTTGATTATTGGAGTGAAGTCTTGTGTAGAACGGTTAGATAATATCCAACTTTCTATATGGGCAGCCAATTTGGACAACATTTTCATAGAAGAATGTGAGTTTGCGCCACAAAGATGTGGTTCTACATATGTGTGCTGAAAATACTATGGATCGAAGATGTGAACAACGAGGAAGTTTTGAGGGAAATAGCAGCATTAAGAAATCTGATGATTTTAATAAAAAAGAAACGACTGAAATTTCTTGAACACACATTGAGGAAGGAAGTTTTGTAGATGTTAACACTCACAGGATTATTGAAGACAAAAGGCGCATTGCAAGTAAAGTACTTAATGAGTTTTTTTGTGAATGGATGATAAAATGTGAACAATTAGGAATTAGGAAAATTCGCCGTAAACATTTTTGCCGTAGGAAAACCTACCTCGGGAATTTTCGCAGTAGAAAACTTTGCCGTATAGGATTTTTGCCGTAAAACAAATTCCTTGCATGTTTTTAATATGCGAAGTAACTTGTTATGAAGTATATCTAACTCATACTATTGTTACTTCGATTTAAACATTTTAATAAGCGAAGTTGTACTAACATGTACTCAAATTTGTGGAAACTAATTACGTATTTTGGAAAAAGAAATAGTATGATTTAGTTTGGAGGAGATGCAGTAAAAATGAAGAAAATATATGTTTATATCAATGCAAGACAGAAAATGCTTCATTACAGGCCAATGCAAAAAACACATTATTCACAAAGCATTGCTTAGAATTTGAACATATTTTAAATTATTTCTTTGTTAATTTGATATATTTTTAGTCTTTTATTTTTTTAATAAATGTAAGTAAACATTTATTTAATTTTTGATATTTCACCCTGTAAAATAGATATCCAGATATACTTGATAACAAAGTACTTGGCATATTAAATTGAACATTACTCAAAAAGTGACGTTCAATATAAGGATATCGAAAAAAAATGCGGCAAAATTGTCTTACGGCCAAAATCATATACGGCGAAGTTTCCTAAAGCGGAAAATACCTGAGGCGAGTTTTCCTATGAAAAAAATGTTTACGGCGAATGCTTACAGTAAACCTATTGCTCTCATCGGATACGTGAACAAACAGCGTTGGTAAAGGTTCAAAGACAACTTTCAGAAAGATCGGAAATTGTGTCCATGATCGTCTACGTCTTGAAGGTACATGACGCATAAAAGCTGAAGAAGGATTATTTAAAAAGTGAGCCCATCTACCTTTTCTTTCTTCACACATTTTTTCCACTTCTTCATTTCCTTGCCTTTTCCAAATCTCTGCGAAAATTAACATTTTTACTGTACTGTGTGTGTTTCAAGGATTTCACTGGCAACGCGTCGTTATTGTGTGCGTTTCAAAGAGAACATAGGCAATTATTGGCTATATTTTGGGTGCTTTGAATAGTGCACGGGCAAGTGTTGGCTATACTGTGTATGTTTCGGAGAGCGTAAAGGCAACTGATGGCTATATTTTGGGGGCGTAGAAGAACGTACACCGAGCATTGACATAAGTTACGAGAAATTCTACTTTGATCCTGAGCAGGCCGCACAGATAATCTGATTTTATACATTGACTCCCGATGCATAACCCGCATATGTTTGCTGGTATTATGCTAGTATTTTTTTTCATATACATTAATGAATTATATATGCTAGGTTCATAGATGAAGCCAAGTTAAACGTAAAAAAAAAGCTCGTTTGACGCTGAGCTTCTTTCTCGGAATTTCGTCTGGTAGTGGCAAGTGATTCTCTTTTTCGAGAATAATGACAACTGAAACATTTCTGATCAGCGATTTGAGCCAAGACCTCGCATAAAGAGACTCGCGAAAATCTAAACAGTTTTCAAGCTGCTTAAAAAACAACTTAAATTCAACAAATCAATAATATCCAATCGATCATTGTTGTTTTCAGTTTTCAGTTCCAAACCTTTACAGAAAAATAAATAAAGAAATAAAATTCATTTCCTTATTTACAACAAATGTGTATTTGTATGGATACTATTTACTAATAGCAATAAATCAATTAACACAAGGACACAAGGCCACGAGTGCTAAACTCCTGAATCCATTTCAGGAACTCTGTGCATAGCGATCATTATAGAGAGCTACCTTTTGTATTTACTCAACTTTAGTCTGCTGTAATGCAAGGATGCATCGTCTCGCCAGATCTATTTAACCTATACAATGAGGTGATCATAAGAGAAGTAGAGGTTTTATCAGGATTTACTAGATGATTAAATCAATGGATTAAGTGCAATTACAAGGAATTGTGTTGAAAACTATCTATTTGTTGTTTGTAAAACCATCATTTCTTGAAACCGCAGTGTCTAATTGCTCTATATTGTTTTGTTTTGTTTTCTCCCAGGATTGCTTCGTTGTAGGCGGTCCTAAAACAGGTATAAGTTCTACCAGGATTAATTAGTGGCAAGGCAGAGTTTTAACAACATAAGATGACGCCGTATTGATGGTAAATAGAAGAAAAAAAAAGACTGCAAGAACTCCGTGACAAGGTAGTAAAGGAAAGAGAGAAGAAAAACTTAAAATCAATTGTAAGAAGACGGCGTTGTATCGTTGTTAGCAAAAGGGACATCCCGAAATGCGAGCTACGAATTAGACACACCAGAAACAATCAAGTACATCAGAAATGCGAAGTGTGATAACAAACGATGGAAAATGTTACACGAAAATCTAAAGGTGCATTCTGAATAGGAAAAGATGCTTTCTAAAAGCTAAACAAAGTATTAAGAAACAGAAAAATTGCCTTAGAAACAAAGAAAATAGTGCTGAACTGCTATGCAATATCAATTAAGTGAATGCTGGAAGCTTTCTTCATAGATGAAGAGGAGATATGAGGTGACTGATTTACTTCGATATAGAGATAGGGAGATTATTATGTTATTCACATATGAGTAACGAGCAAGTTTTAAGAGAAATTGAATCGGAAAGAGAGGGTTTGAGACGCAATTAGAAAAGATGGCTTAAAGAAAAAAACTCACAGAACATATTAAAGATAAGAGTGGAGAGGTTAACATCGTGTTTTTGTATATGCGTGGCAGAACAGGGACTATGCTAAGGAAAGGAACATTGCTTAGAACCGCAAATAATTTGTGGACATGATCTCCCACGTCTTAAGGGGACAGCACATGGAACAAATATGGCAACAAGTACTGAAGAATATGGTAACTATTGAACTCGCTCTGGTGGCAATGGTCTGCGAGATTAGCCGAATCATTGCTTTACACCTTGTAATAAATAATCTTAGTCTGACACATGTGGGCGCTCAGTAAGCCTACGGCAATGGCTGCTATGACAAGTCTGACAACTTCATACTGCGAGGCGTCTTTAAAGTTCATTTTCTACACGTTGCACCTAGCTTGGCACAAGACTGCAGTAATGGAGCACATTAGTAGATTTGACATTGACGAGCTTCTTGTCTTCTTAGTCTGATGCAAAGCTAAAAATGTCGAGTATCTTTCAAGAGTCTAACCTAACTTTTGGCTGTTTATTTAGATGGGAAATTATTATTATAATATTGATTTCTGTTTGGAACAGAATGCTCATTTTAGTTATGATACTCATCTGATATATTTTAAACATTGCTTCTAGGTATGTTCATGAGATCCATAAAAATGGCATAGCGTGAATAAAAAGGGCCTTAAACTTGATAAAAATATTTTTTTATTGTCTAAATGTTTATGTTATTATCAAGAGGAAAGATCAAAGTATTTTTAGAATATTTTTTACATTTTTTAATAATTTCTAGCACGTCCAAAATTTTCGTTTTTTTGAATCAGCAAAATTGACAGCAAATCAATCGTCAGCCATTTTTTTAACTTTTGTTTACAAAAGTGAATGTCTCCGTTTAAAATTCATTTAAAAAATCAATTACGATTTTTTTTTTAAATTAATTTAAGAAAATCAAAAATTATAAAGTTAATTTAATATATTTTGAAACAAAGATTACTTACTTTCTGCGCTGAAAAAAATGTACTTTAAAATGGGAGAAAGCCGGTCTGAACTGCGGTGTTTATTGACCAGTGACATGTGAGTGATTTCATCACACACTGACATGTTTCGTGAGGAAAGTTATAGTCCGGAATCTCATAAGTGACAGTTTACCTTTACGTTAACAACTTATTTACCTCGTTATTTTTAAGTAGGCATATCATGAAAAAACGGCCTTAAACTTGACGAAAGCAGAATTTTATCGCCAAAATGTTTATGCTTCTATTAAGGGGAA